CTGCTGAGGCTGCTGCCCCCGAGACCTGACCCTGGATCAGAGGAAGAAGATGGACCGATGACTGAAATTTTTGAGTTAAATTCAGACAGAACAAGCTTTTAATTTGACTCCTAAAGGTTCAAGAACAATAATTAAATTTGACTTTATTTTAAATTTTCTGTCAGATTGATTTATGTGCCAACATAACTACACAAATTAAAGGGTCCTGAGCCTGGTCCTGGTCCTGGTTCTGCTGGAGGTTTCTTCCTGATTAGCAGGGAGTTTTTCCTCTCCGTTTGCTCAGGATGGAGACTGTGATGAAGTGATTCAACACAATCTGCTGTTTCTTTTTACACACAGACCTGAGACGTTTGTTGTGACTTGATGCTACAAAAATAAACTGAACTGAATTGAAATGGAAGTCACATGACTTGTAACCAGGAAGTAAAAACTAACACCAAATATAAAAACCTGAAGCAGGAGGAGAAAGACACTCTGCTTCCAGTTTTCTATAGTGACAAATGTTAAATTTTTATTTTTATTTACTTTGACCTGTTTSATTATCTGTCTTCATGAAGTCGTCTCTGCCTGTGAGGAAATGAAGGAATGATCCAGTTAGTTTCATTAAAARGGTCCAGCTGTAAAACACGTGTTTAATGTGTGTCTGAGAGGACAGATGTGTTGTGCAGCATGTTTTTATTCTTGTTTTGATGCTTTGGAAACTTGTCGCTCATGAAAACAATAAATATGAATACAATGCAAAACATTTTCCTAATGAAGCACTTTACACAATGTACAACGTTCTCTGGCTCCTGCTGCTGGAAAATCTTTGTACATTTCCAAAAAACTGAACTCAGCTTGGCTCAGAAACCCTGAAGGTGAAAGAAAACAACTAAAAGCACTTCTTGTGTCAATTTAAAACCTGCAGAGAGAAAAGAAAGTCCGCTCTGGTTCAAAGGACATAAAATGATGGAGAAGTGTCGTTTGCTACGACGGCTGCAGCCATGACAGGACCCCCGAGTCACCAGACCCCTGCCCCCCTCCTTCCAGGGGTCTGTCAGTTGTCCATCTGGAAGTGTCCATAATCTGTGTCGGAGCCTGGAAGGGTCAGTAATCTGTGTCGGAGCCTGGAAGGGTCAGTAATCTGTGTCGGAGCCTGGAAGGGTCAGTAATCTGTGTCGGAGCCTGGAAGGGT